TATATGTCTTAAAGAGAACAAATGAAGCAGCATATCACTTTCATCTTTTATATTCTCAATGAAGTAACAGTACAGAGAAGATGCTAAAAAAATATTTTTGCTTTATAAGTGGAAGGCGGACAGACTATAACCATGTTAACTTCTTTAGATGTAACTTTTATGAAATATCAACTAAAGAAGCCCAGCTACTTACATGGCTGTGGATCCTGTTGATTGGGTACCAACAGCGATCGGTAGCCCCCTTCTCCTTTGCTTTCTTCTAACATAGACTCCCTTGCAGGTGAGGGGTCCACGTGTTCCAATCTAGCCAACAGACATAAACACTTGTTTCTATCTTGGAGCTTGTTAGAACATTTCCTAATAGGGACTGATTCAGTTTGGTCTCTATTCCTCCTCTCTTCGGCCTGGCCTGGAACACAGGTGCAATGCCTTGCAGTGGTTCTCAACCTTCCTAATGCTGCGACCCTTTAATACAGTTCCTCATGTTGTAGTGACCCCCAACCATAAGATTATTTTCATTGCTACTTCATAACTGTAATTTTGCTACTGTCATGAATCGTAATGTAAATATCTGATATGCAGGATGTATTTTCAGGGGTCGCGACCCACAGGTTGAGAACCGCTGCTTAGAGGTTCAGTAGCATTGCATAATCATGAGGACAAAGGAGACAGACTGCGGATGGTGGCGTGCAAAGAAAGAGGAAGGCCTGGGGAGGTCACCGAACTAACCACCCTTGGGTTTCTCATTACAAGATAAGAAATTTAGTCCCTGCGGAGGGAAGCCATTACTATCTGTTTTTCGATGGCTCGCAACCCAACCCAATCCTACCCATTTGGGGCTATTTCGAGTTTCCTTTTATTCTCACAGTCCTCAGCACTGCTCAGGAAATGAAATTTCTGGCATCCAATGCAGTTGTATTAATTCTCCAACTCTTCAAATTGTGCCACTTTAAAAAGTTGGGTTAAAGACACTTAAACTCTTGTTTCAAACTCAAATCATATCTAAAGATAAAAATTCACTGGTTTTCTTTGGAAGAAGTCCTATTACAATACATCAACATCAAGTTTTAAAAAAATGTTCTACCATATAACTTCTAAAGCAGTGGTCCTCAACCTTCTGGCCCTTTAAATACAGTTCCACACGTTGTGACCCAACCATAAAATTATTTTCGTTGCTACTTCATAACTGTAATGTTGCTACTGTTATGAATTGTAATGTAAATATCTGATATGCAGGATGGTCTTAGGCGACCCCTGTCTAAAGGTCGTTCGACTGCCAAAGGGGTCGCGACCCACAGGTTGAGAACCGCTGTTCTAAGGACATCAAAGGTATTGTCAACAGATTCTGAACTTGTTTCAGGTAGCAAACATTTTATGCCAACAAACTGTCCAAAAAGTATGTGAATATAGTCTACATTTTATTTTTTTTAATATTTTATTGATTTTTTTACAGAGAGGAAGGGAGAGGGATAGAGAGTTAGAAACATCAATGAGAGAGAAACATCGATCAACTGCCTCCTGCACACCCCCCACTGGGGATGTGCCCGCAACCAAGGTACATGCCCTTGACTGGAATCGAACCTGGGACCCTTCAGTCCACAGGCTGATGCTCAATCCACTGAGCCAAACCGGTTAGGGATACATTTTAGAGTTTCATAGGCCTCCAACCTATCATATTTTGTGGCATATAGATTATTATAAAGACCTTTCAAATTATTTTAAGAACTCCCAGTTGCCAAATTTTGGACAATTTGAGCATCAAAAAGTTAATGATGGTAATGGATTATAGCACATTAAGTAAAATGTAAAAAAAAATTTATAAGTTCACAGTGATTCACAAGCATGCCAGCTAATACATGTAGGCAAATGACAGAATTAGACTTTGCAACTGTGAATACAGTGATTGATTGAAGGTAGCCTCATTCATGGGCGCTAAAGCCATTGAGGTAAAGGATGTTGGGTAACAAGACAATCAAATGGTTTCAGAGTAGCATCCCACAGATCAATTAATAATTCCGAAGGGAAATGGATTTTACCATTGAGAGATCTGTTAGACACTGTCTTAAAACCAAGCAATCAAACTTGGTACCGCCAATGATACGATGGCTTAGTGCTGTGGTCAGCAAACAGCGGCTCACGAGCCACATGCGGCTCTTTGGCCCCTTGAGTGTGGCTCTTCCTAAGCCTTAGGAGTACCCTAATTAAGTTAATAACAATGTACCTACCTATATAGTTTAAGTTTAAAAAATTTGGCTCTCAAAAGAAATTTCAATCGTTGTACTGTTGATATTTGGCTCTGTTGACTAATGAGTTTGCCGACCACTGGCTTAGTGTGTGACTTTGTACAAATCATTTAGCTTCCCAGAGTCTTGGTTTCCTCCTCTACAAACAGAAGATCATCTATATGCCACAATGTGGACAGGCCTGGAAAACAGTATGCTAAGTGAGAGAAGCCGGACACAGAAGCCACGTACTGTATGATTCCATTTATATGAAATGTCCGACCGAATAGGCAAATCCATGGGAGGGAGGGGTCATGGGGAAGGACGCCTAAGCTCTGTGAGATTTCTTCTAGGGGTGATGAAAATGTTCCAGAATTTAAATAATAGTAGTCACACAACTCTGTGAATATACAAAAACCACTGAATTGTACATGTTAAGAGGGTAAATTTTATGGTATAGGAATTGTATCTCAATAACGCTGTTTAAAAAATGCAGTAACATGCAATTACCACAGAACCTAGCAATTCCACTCCTAAGAATAGGCAAGTGGGAAAGAGACAAAAAGAAGATTAGTAGTTGCCTAGACTGGGAGGGGCGGGGGACAATGGGGAGTGACTGCTAATAGGAATGAGATTTCTTTTCCGAGTGATGGAAATGTTCTAAAATTGATTGTGGTGATGGTTGCGAATCTTTATCAATATACTAAAACTTTGAAATGGTACACTTTCAATGGGTGAATCAAATAGTATGATATGTGAATATATCTAAAAGCTGTTAAGCAGGTAAAACATTAAAATATTTTAGTTAAGAAAAGGAGATAACAATACTGGTATGAGGTCTAAATGAGTCTTTGTTCTCCTAATACCTCATGCCACTCCCCCCTCACCCAACACACACTATTATTTATCACACCAAATCATCACTGTGAATGCTTTTGTCTTGCCCACTGAGGTGAGAGCCCTCATAACAGAAACGTTTTTTAAATGTATTTTTATTTCTTTCAGAAGGGAAGGGAGAGAGAGAGAGAGATAGAAACATCAATAAGAGAATAATTGATCGGCTGCCTCCTGCACGCCCCCTACTGGGGATTCAGCCCACAAGCCAGGCATCTGCCCTGACTGGGAATCAAACCATGACCCCCTGGTTCATAGGTTGATGCTCAACCACTGAACCACACCAGTGAAGCTGATAACAGAAACTTTCTAATCCACTCAGGGCCGACTTTCTGGGTATGTGACCTGTGCAACCACACAAGAATCCATCCTCAGAAGGGTCCCACATTTGCTTTAATACTCTGCTATCACCATCTTGAAAGTCTCAATTTTTGAACAAGGTGCAGGTGCCCTTCATTTTTATCTCGCACTGAGCCCTGCACATTTTGTAACAGTCCTGGATCCACCTTTGGCCCCCACACAGCTCGGCGCAGCACTGATGCTCAGTGGGTGTCCAATCAAGGTTCCTTCTCTTTCCCAGTCCCAGTACTGAGACTTCCCCCAGAACAGTGCCTCGACCTTCAACACAGATCCACCCAGAGCCTCCTGGGTGCCAGGTAATGCGTCAGCAGCTGGGGATACATGAGGCGCCAAAGCCACAGCTGAGGTCTCTTCCCCTTCCCAGCAGGGGAGCTGCTGAGAAGGAGGCTGTGCCAGCAGCACAGCTGCCCCCTCCCCACTGACCTCCACAGCCACCGCCGCGTGGCACTCATTTGTACTTAGAGACAAATGCATCACCTTGGGATCCTGGCTTTGTGAGTTCTGCTTTGTAATAGGAAATAGAAGGCTCTAATGAGTGAGGGTGAGCCTGCAGTTCTTTCCTGCAGCGTGAGAGAAAAAAGTCGCCTCTGCCTTTCTCAGTATGCTTGCGGTCCATCACATTGACATCTATTATTAAAGAGATCTGTCAGCACCTCTTTTTAAAAACATTTTTTTATTGATTTCAGAGAGAAAGGAAGAGGGAGATAGAAACATCAATGATGAGAGAGAATCATTGATCGGCTGCCTCCTGTACGCCCCAAGCTGGGGATCGAGCCCGCAACCCGGGCATGTGCCCTGACCAGGAATCAAACCGTGACCTCCTTGTTCATAGTTCGACGCTCAACTGCCGAGCTATGCCAGTCGGGCTGCCAGCACCTCTTAATTCAATGCAGTTTCTAAGGACAAAACACTATGCTAGGCACTGCTGCTAGGAAGATAGTAGCTGGGTCTTTTTAAGAGTGTTGCACGAGCTCTTTGGATAAAGATTACAGTGGGCTACAACTATCTGGGGAGTCAGCAGAGAGCAGTAGTTGTTGAAATTCCTGATAGACCTGGCTTCCACTTGATCGATGTGCTTTACGAGGGTCGGGTCCCAGGGGCAATTCCTTAATCTCTGTAACCTTCAGTTTCCTAATCAGTTAATACAACCCTGGTGTCAAAGGGCTGTTGTAAAGATTAAATGAGGTAAAGCATTCACAATAGTGGCACGGTCTCTAGCACTTAGTAGGAAAGTCACACACAAAAAAACAAAACCTAAAACATCCTATAAAACTGTGCTGTTTTGCCCCCAAATGGCTAAATCGTTCTGCTCCTGGCCCATAGCCGCATGTTATAAAATACCTCTGCCTGCAATTCCTATTTCTCTAGATAGAGGTGAAGGCAAACGACGCCAGCCAACATCCCCTGATGCCGTGACGTGACGTCAGTGAGCTCTTTCTCCCTCTCAGTCTTGGTAGTGAACCCCACACCTGCTCCCACACCCCAGGCACACAGTGTTGTGCGGGGAGGGCTAGGTGAAGGAGCTGGGATGGGGATGCTGGGAGAAGAGGGTTTGACTTATCCTGGCTCTTGTTGCTTCTTTAGGACTTGGAGCCACTCCTCCCTAGCACAGCCTGCCCATTGAGCACCTAAGTTGGGCTCTCCCCCAGCCCCAGCCCCCATCACTGGACAGTCATGGGCAGTGGCTGCTACCAGGGAGAACCGCATGACCTTGAGCAAGACAGCTTTCTGTGGAGGGAAGGCAGTTCTCCAAGAGACACTCATCTGAGAGCTGTCAGCCAACTCTCCCAGCAGGTGGGCAAATGGGTGCCTCAGTCCTGAAGGGGGGACTCTATTTGGGCAGCTCAGTACAGAATCAATGACAAGAACTAAATGGTAGGAATGGCTGTTCTAAGTTTCAGCCATTCCTAGGAGTGTTGGAATAGGGACGGGCTGGGGGAGGATAGAGGGTATGCCACCTGCCACACTTCATAGTGGATTATGGGGGCAAATGCATTGAAAGCGGCACAGATTGTGGTTTTATGTGCATTTAACCAAAACTCAGGGTCGATCCCAGCAAAACATTTCTCAGCAGATCCACAAAAAGGACAAAGAATGCCTTGATCATAAAATATTCACCATTTATAAGATTCTGCTTGCTTTTTTTTTTTTTAATATATTTTATTGAGTTTTCACAGAGAGGAAAGGAGAGAGAGATAGAGAGCTAGAAACATCGATGAGAGAGAAACATCGACCAGCTGCCTCCTGCACACTCCCCACTGGGGATGCGCCCGCAACCCAGGTACACGCCCCCGACCGGAATCGAACCTGGGACCTTTCAGTCCGCAGGCCGACGCTCTATCCACTGAGCCAAACCGGCTTCGGCCTGCTTGCTTTTTAAAGTCTTCATTGTCATAGAAATATGATGCTTATGGTCAAAATCACAAAACGTGGTCTCTGGAAATAGGACTGGATTGGAGTCCCAGCTCCATGACGTATAACGAGTGACCTTTACTCAGTGACCAGTGTAATGAAGATAATAATTACAAACCTCACTGGACTGAGATGATGTCCCTAACCCATACAAATTGCTAAATAATATTTCTTTTTCTTCTTTTCCTTCTCCTCCTCATTATTATTATTTATACTGCATTTCCCTATCTGAGCACAGGAAAAAAAATGCTGGGTTCTCACTCGTCAACTCCTGCTCTAACAATCCTCATTAATAGTCCATTCTCGCCAAAACTGGTTTGGCTCAGTGGATAGAGCGTCGGCCTGCGGACTGAAGGGTCCCAGGTTCGGTTCCGGTCGGGGGCATGTGCCTGGGTTGCGGGCACATCCCCAGTGGGAGATGTGCAGGAGGCGGCTGATCGATGTTTCTCTCTCATCGATGTTTCTAACTCTCTATCCCTCTCCCTTCCTCTCTGTAAAAAATCAATAAAATATAAAAAAAAAAAAATAGTCCATTCTCCAGCATGTTGATGTTTTGCTTAATTTTTAAATTTTTGCTTTTTATTGAATCTATTGGGGTGACACTGGTTAATGAAATTATACAGGTTCCAGGTGCAAAATTCTGCAAGACATCATCTGTACACTGTATTGTGTGTTCACCAACCCAAGTCAAATCCTTGTCCATCACCATTTACCCCCTATACCCTCCCCCACCCCCAGGCCATCACTGCACTGTTGTCTGTGTCCATGATTAACTCATTTGTTTTAGAGAGACGGGCTGTAGTCAGATCATGGTATGCTCTAGGTGCCAGGCTAAGAGATATGGACATATGTTGTTGACGGTGGGAGCCATTAAAGGTTTTGGAGCAGCAATTATTAGGAAATAAAAGAGAAGAATCAAGATTACTTAGCTAGGAGGGCCTGAAGACCCCCTGAAGTTTTGAGTAAATATTTGTGTGAATAGCCATGTGTTTCTTTTTCTGGGGAGAGATCCCATAACTTTCATCCACACTCAATGGTGTCTGAGACTTCACAAAAGGCTAAGAACCGCTGTCTCAGCAGTTTCCAGCTTAGATGACCAGCAGCATGGTAGTAGCATTCAAAAGAAAAGGGGTTCCAGGGCAAGCAGTCAGGAGGGGGGTTGGCTGGAGGAGAGTAGAAACGGCCACGTGCCTCTGAGGTCGATCGCTTTCACGATGCTGCTGTAGGTGGATTTTCCAGGGGCCCCCGGGCACCGGAACCCCTGCCGCCCTCCCTCGACTGCAAGGCCACAGCCACAGGCGCGGGAGTGACCTCCATCACAGGCTGGCGTTTGAATGACATTGTCAGGAGGACCAGCTAAGCGGGCCGAGGACAGGTCTTTGAACATATTTGACCTGCCTGCTGTGCCTTTTCCGAAGTGCTTTCTGACCGATTATTTTTCTCTGCACAGGAAAGTCACATTTTGAACTTCACTCCCTAAAATACATTCAATCACGCTTCGGCTTCTGAGGAGGGGCGGAGGGAGGCACATAGCAACGGCTTATGTGCTTCGCTTCTCATCTGAGGAAATTATCTTTTCAAAATGACGGGTGCTCCTGACCCTGTCTGAGAGCAGGTGGGTATTTAGGGGCCACGATAGGAAGTGTGTAGGATAATTGTCAGCACTCAGACGACCTAGTTCCAGCCGCTGTGGAAATCCTGGCCTCCTGAGGCATGCCTCCTCTCCCCGGAGAGGAAGACGAAGTACCTGTGACCCCTTCCTCCTCATGCCAGGAAAGCTACTTAACAATATGTGGGTAGAGAGGTGGTCTTTCCCCAGTGATACTCCCTGTTAAGGGTTGAAGGGTGTCTCCCTAACATTCCTATGTTTGAATCCTAAGCCCCTGTACTTCAGATTATGATCTTATTTGCGAACTAGAGGCCCAGGGCACAAAATTCATGCACTGGGGGAGGGGGAGTGGCCCCTTAGCCAGGCCTGCGCCCTCTCGCAGTCCAGGACCCCTTGGGGGATGTCTGCCTAAGCCAGCAGTTGGACATCCCTCTGCTACATGCCAAGGAACATCAAAGAAATTGCCAGGAAACCCCCAGAAACGAGGGGGGAGGCATGGAGCTGCATCATCCTCACAGCGGTCAGAATGAACAAATGCTGCCCTAACTGGTTTAGCTCAGTGGATAGAGCTTCGGCCTTTGGACTCAAGGGTCCCAGGTTCGATTCCGGTCAAGGGTATGTACCTTGGTTGCGGGCACATCCCCAGTAGGGAGTGTGCAGGAGGCAGCTGATCGATGATCTCTCATTGATGTTTCTAACTCTCTATCCCTCTCCCTTCCTCTCTGTAAGAAATCAATAAAATATATTTTTAAAGAAAGAAAGAAAGAAAGAAAGAAAGAAAGAAAGAAAGAAAGAAAGAGAAAGAAAGAAGAGAGAGAGAGAGAGAGGAAGGAAGGAAGGAAGGAAGGAAGGAAGGAAGGAAGGAAGAAAGAAGAAAGAAAGAAAGAAAGAAGAAAGAAAGAAAGCTAGCTGCCCACACGTGGTCTCCGACTTCCAGCCTCCAGAACTGGGAGACAGCAGATGTCTGTTGTTGAAACCGCCCAGTTTGTGGTACTTTGTTACTGTACTAGTAGCTCTTGAAAACTAATACACTCCCTTTCTCTAGAATTGTAGAGCTGTTCCATTCTGCTTCGAGCTAATCCAGTCCTGGTTTCCTGAACTGAGGTCTCAGAGAAGGTGGGCGGGGCTGTGGCGACCTTGTCAATCAAAATGGCTCCTGCAGAGCTTGCCAGGTATGCAGAGCTCTGGAGGTCAGCAGGGAGAGTGGCTTGGGGACCTCCCACCCTGCCTTGACGGAGGGGATACTCTTTCCTGAGTGTACTGTGGCTTAAGGAAGGGGGTCCCCACTGACTCTCTTGAAGGATCAAAATATTCAACCCCAAGTCTGGAGCATGGATTTTGCTTAACCTGGCTCCTAAAAGTGTTTGTTCTCAGCCTCTCTCTCTCCCCCATCATCAAGCTGTTACAAACTTGTCTTTAGTCACCTGATGACTCGGTTTCCATGGTTACCGACAAACATGCAGCAAGGTGTCATTCCTAGGAGGCCTCAGGATAAAACAAGTAACAAGACCAGGCCTTGGCACAATGAGAATGACCAGGATGGAGCACTGAGGGCAACTGGGCCTCAAAAGCAAGCCAGGAGCCCAGTTACAGAGCTGGGCTTAAAGGCAGAAAGAGCAAGGGTTTGAACCCAGGTGCTAATAATCTCCCATCTCTCCCTTCAGATCTGCTCTTCTCCACCCCAGAGGCTGACCTGCATGGGCCGCAATCAACAGCCTCCCTTGTCCCCAGCTCCACTGTGTCTGTTACTGGAGAGCCCAGCAGATAAGGGGGAAGAAAATAGAGGCTGCTTTTGGCTGGCTGTGCCACGGAATGGCTCCTCTACAGCATCCTCTCCTTCCCAACCAGTGTGATGGGCCCATACTCTTTAACCCCTGCGATCTAAGGTCAGGATGGGTCTCTGAGACCTGGGGCTGCAGGAAAGAGGTGCTGGACCTGATGTAGGTCCCCAGTGATTATAGGTTTGGGGTGAGGGTCACGGCACAACCTAGAGAATGAAGCAGGATCTGTTACTCACCTGTGAGGACTTTCAGGTCTCCCATGGTCTTTCCTGTCCTGGCAACTCCCCAGTGTTTAGCCAATGCAATTAGTTTAGTTCACTGTACATTTGTTTTCCCACTGATTTTTAGACAGAGTGAAAGGGAGGGAGAGAAGGAGAGAGAGAGAACAGAGAAGAGAAAGAAGAGAAACAATGATGTGAGAGAGACACATCGATCTGTTGCCTCCCATACTGGAGTACTGGGGCTCAAACCTGCCACCCAGATACATGCCCTTGATCAGGAATCGAATCTGCAACCCTTCAGTGCGCAGGCCAAAGCTCTAACCACTGAGAACACCGGCAGTGGACTCTGTCCCTGCCTTTTGAATCTGGGTGAACTTGTAATTCCTCTGTCCCATAAAGTTCAGAAGAAGTGATAGATATGACTTCTGAGCCTGGGTCATAAAAGATGCTGAGCTTTCTCCTGGTTCTCCTGGGACCTGGCTCTGTGGGAAGTCCATCCACGTAAGAAGTCTGACAACCCTGAACCCACCTGCTGGAGAGGCCACGTGAAACAGTTCAGGAGGCAGCCCAAGCTGAGCTCCCAGCCAACTGCCCAGCATCAGCTGCCAGCCATGTGGATGAGCCAACTTGGACGTCTGGCCCAATCATGCCTTCAGATGACCGCCGTCTCAGCCAACATCTAAATGCAGCCTTGTGAGAGATCCCAAGGCTCACCAGAGCTCCTTAATTTCCTGACTCAGAAAATCACAAGCAAAAGAAAATGATTGTGTTTTGTTTTTTTTAATGTTTTTATTGACTTCGGAAAGAGGAAGGAAGAGAGGAATAGAAGCATCAATGATGAGCCATTCTGGCATGGCTCAGTGGTTGAACATCGACCTATGCACCAGGAGGTCATAGTTCAATTCCCAGTCAGGGTACATGCCTGGATTGTGGGCTCAGTCCCCAGTGTTGGGTGTGCAGGAGGCAGCAGGTCAATGATTCTCTCATTATTGATGTTTCTATCTCTCTCTCTCTCTCTCCCTTCCTCCCTGAAATAAAAAAGAAAAGAAATATCAATGACAAAGGTTTTGGGAGCTTTGTGCCAGGAACTTCGAGTAGAAACTAAATAATAAGCTATATACATGTAGCTTATTATTTCTATAAGATTGTATCTCTCTTAAATTTTTTTAAAAAATTCAGGTTTTTAAAAAATATATTTTATTGATTTTTTACAGAGAGGAAGGGAGAGGAATAGAGAGTTAGAAACATTGATGAGAGAGAAACATTGATCAGCTGCCTCCTGCACACTCCCTACTGGGGATGTGCCTGCAACCAAGGTACATGCCCCTGACTGGAATCGAACCTGGGACTCTTGAGTCTGCAGGCTGACGCTCTATCCACTGAGCCAAACCTGTTAGGGCTCAGTTTGTTTTAACAACAAAAAAAAGTTCATCTATATCTACCATTCTCCAACTCTAACTCTTGCAACCACCAATCTATTCTCTAAGTCTGTGAGGTTGTTTTTGTTGTTTTGTTTTGTTTTAGATTCCATAATATAAGCAAGATCATAAGGTATTTGTTTTTCTCTGTCTGACATTTCACTTAGCATAATGCTCTCAAGGTCCATCCACCCAGGCTGTTGCAAATGGCAAGATTTCATTATTTTTTATGACTGAATCTATAATAATAAAAGGGTAATATGCTAATTAGACTGGAAATTTTCCAGACGTCCTTCCTGACTAAGCCGGGGCGGCGGGAAGCCAACCCAGGTCCCAGGTGCCTGCCGGGGGCCGGAGCCAGGAAGCAGCCCAGATCCCGGCAGCTGAGGGGAAGAAAGACCTACTCTTGCACAAATTTTTGTGCATTGGGCCTCTAGTAATATATATAATTTCATTACCTATTCATCCACCTATGGACATTTAGATTGTTTCCATATCTTGACTATTGTAAATAATGCTGCAATAAACATGGGGTACATATATATTTTCAAATTAGTGTTTTCTCTTCAGAAGTAGAATTATTGAATTATATGGTAGTTCTATTTTTAAAAAAAAAAATTTTTCTGCAAAATGTTTTATTGTTTCCATTTGGCCCAATGCATGGGTGAGAGCTTCAGGGTGGTTAAAAGAATGACTAGTAGTTTGGGGAGAGGCTCAGGCAAAAGCCAGACACCAGGGGAACACAGAGGGGCCCCTCAAAGGCCTCTGGGCTCCAAAGGCTCCTGGTCGTGCTTGAGGGTGAGCCTTTCAAACAGGTACTTGCCCAGCCCAGCCTGGGGGCCGGCAGCCAGCGGAGGTGAGTCACGTGTCGCCCATCTTCTTCATGAGTTTCACCTCCTCACCCCGGCAGTGGTTCCCCAGGAAGTCACAGGATGCGGGGCTGCACAGGTAGAACCCAGGGAGAACCCAGGGCCTGCAGCTCCAAAAGGGCCTGGTTCAGGTTCCTCTCCTAGGCCATGGCAGCTTCCATGGCGTCCTGAGTTTTGCCCACTCATCTGGGGAGGCTTCAGCATGTCCTGGAAGAAAATGCGGCCGCCACACTGGTTTTGCATCTTTAAGAGATGCTCAACGCCCTGGCAAGGCCCACGCCCTCGAGAGCCACATCCTCACGGTAGCAACAGAAGCCCAGAGAGAGGTAGGTGCGGGAGGCCCCAGAGGCAGGCTGGCCAGGCGGTTGACCGCAGCCTGCACCTCAGTGGAATAATTCTGACGAATTTGGCAGCTCATGGTTGTTCGGTGATAAGGAGTTAGGGTAGAGAGAAAACAGGTGTGTTTCCAGAGTTGGTTCCGGAGATGGTCCCGAAGGTGGTGACTGGATAAGACGCTTGAGGGTGGCTGGAGGCTGGAAGAAGGGGTGTCCCTAGGTCTGTTCTCTCCAAACACTGCTGCAGCAAGAGGCAGATCCGGGACCGCCGAGGGTACTATCTATTTTGAATTTTTTGAGGAACAACCATATTTTTTTTCCCCGTAGGGTTTGCACCAGCTTACTTTCTCACCAAGAGCGCACAAGGGTTCCCTTTTCTTCGCATCCTCACCAACACTTGATAATAGCCACTACCAGGTGTGAGGTGAGAGCTCATTGTGGGTTTGATTTGCATTCCCTGATAATTAATGGTGTTGAGCATCTTTTTATGTACCCGTTGGCCATCTGGTATGTCTTCTTTAGACAAAAACAATCTATCCAGAGCCTATACCCATTTGTAAATCAAACTGTTGGGGGTTTTGTATTGAATTGTATGAGTTTTTTGATCAGACTGTTGGGGTTTTGCTGTTGAATTGTATGAGTTTTTTGAATATTTTGGATATTATCCCTTATCAGATATGTGATTTGCAAATATTTTCTCCGAAAATGACCTTTTCACTTTTTTTAAAAATGGCTTCCTTGGCTGTGCAGAAGCTCTTTTGTCTGATGTAGTTCCACTTGTTTATTTTTGCTTTTGTTGCTTCTGCTTTTGGTGTCAGACTCCAGAAGTCATCACCAAGACCTATGTCAAGGAGCTTATCGCCTGTGTTTTCTGCTAGGAGTTTTAGATATCTTACTTTTAACTTCAGCCTGCAAGATTTTAATTTAAAAAACAAAATAAAAAAACAGCTATCTCCCGGCCAGTGTGGCTCAGTGGTTGAGCATCGACCTATGAACCAGAAGGTCACAGTTTGACTCCGGTCAGGGCACAGGCCCGGGTTGTGGGCTCAATCCCCAGTGTGGGGCGGGCAGGAGGAAGCTGATCAATGATCTTTCTCATCATTGCTATTTCTGTCTCTCTCTCCCTCTCCCTGCCTCTCTGAAATCAACAAAAATATATTTACATATAAAAACAAAACAGCATCAAGGGATAATAATAGTTAACATTTGTGGAGTGCCAGGCACTGTGTTAAAAGCTTTCTATGCATTATCTCATTCATTGCTCAACACAGTCTTATGAGGCTAATATTATAATTGGCCCTATTTCACAAATGAGGAAACTAAGGCCTTATTATCAAGTCAGTGGAAAGTCCCAGACTCCCCTCCCAAGTCCAAAGTCTGTCTGTGCTTTTAACCTCTTAAGCTGTCTTTCCTCTCTAATTAAGAAGTTAAGTCTGAGCAAGATCATGTACGTACTTATACCATTGCCTTATGCCAGGAAGGGTTTCAGGCTTTGGTTAAGCACCTTGTCCAAGATCACCCAGACTATAAGTGGCAGAGCCAGGAGTCAAATCTCTATCTCTCAGGCGCTGTATAAACAGAGTGAGATAGCGCAGACATGGACCCACATCATATATTTCCTCATAAACAGGAGAAAGGGAGATGGGGGCATTTCCTTTGGCTGTTTTCCATTTTCATTCTGGTTGGATATATTCTCAGCACTAGAGTTCCTTGCTCTATCTTTTGAGAAGGGATAGATAGGACAAGAGAGAGTCAGGATTAACAGGACTGGGCAGTAAATGCACGGGCTACGGTGTTGAGCAGATGAAAGGAAAAGAAAGAGTGAAATGAGACAAAGGAAGAGCATTAGGGGAAGTGGAGGGAAGGCAGGGGTGGGAGGAGACACTAATGTCTACTCAAGAGTGAGAATAAAAATAGTTTCCTTTGGTTGTGCAAGGTTTCGGAGAAGAAAAGTTTAAAAGGTAAACACCACCAGAACAGCTATGTTTTGTTTTGTTTTTTAAACCACATATCCTACCGTATCTCAAATCAGGGACGGCCCCTCCACGTCTGAGCAGTGAACAGCTGTCAGGCCCTCTCAGTTACTTCTCCTTGGGTCTGTAGCATCACCCTTCTCAAGACAAATACTTAATCCATCTTTGTAGTTCTAAGGCCCAACCCCAGCAGGCGTGTGTAAAGCAGTGTCTTTCCTTGGCAATAACTTGGAAAATAAATAGAATGAAATATATACTCATTCCTTTTTTGTGTGCCTTAAAAGTGGGACATTCATTTGCTTTCCGTTTGGATTCTTATGAAAACATTGCAGAATAGGCTCTTAATCTTTTTTTGTTTTATTTTATTTTTATGAAGGAGCCTGTCTCCATTTAGTATCCTTAACCAAACATACTTTAGTCTCCAGGCAAGAACTGGCCATAAAGAAAATACAGTTCTTTTAATAGCAGCTCTTAAGCCCTGGCTGTGCACTAGCTATAAAGGCAAGATGCATTTGAAACCCTTCTCGTTAAAAACCACGATGCTTTACTTATGTTGGGCTTGGCCACTCTGGATAATGCAGAACAGAAGTCGCTTATTGAGAGGCAAGGACAGGAAGAGGAAACGGCTGACCTGTAACTAGAGTTCTCCAAAGGTGATAGGTACATTTATTGATCTCCTGGGACCTATATTTAGTTAGCAACTTGAGCTGACTAGCACGTGCGTTGAGTGATGTTTAAATCGTTAGAGTGCACATACACAAACTTAACATCGCAGGAGTTTATTTCCTTCCCCATCCCACCTTTCTAGACATTTCCTTTTTCTTTTTTTAACCTGCACTATGCAAATAACATTTTTTTTTTTTTAAAAAAAGTAACTTAATTCAGGCTTGTTGGATGGACTCCTGTGAAGCATTGATCATCAGAACTTCTCTTTTGCCAGCAGAACTGGACAAAGAGTTCCCTGTTGTAAATAAGTGAATCTAGGGCAAAGAAATTTCCACATCTGCTTGAGTTTAGTTTGGAACTATTCCTTCTTCCTCTAAAGGTGGCAATTTAAAAAATAAATATATGCATTATGTTTTTAAAATGCAAGCAATTTAGTCTTTTTTACGGAGTGCAAAAACCTCCCTGAGATCATTGAAGAAGTTGCAAATTCTACAGAATAAACAGCAACACCAGGATGTTCTGGAGATATATCGAAATGTGCACACAGTAGAAAATGTATCATTCT